ATTACTACTACACACACACACACACACACACACACACACACACACACACACACACACACACACACACACACATACACGTGTGCACGCGCGCTAACGTTAAAAAAGCGTTAAAAAAAAAAACAGTTTTTATTTACGACACACGTTTGTATGCACGTTCCCATGGAATATATCAAAAAACTTTTTATCGTCAGTATATACGTATTACCGTACGTAAAGGGAAATTAACTGATATATACGTAGTCGATTCGAATTTCGATAATCGAATGAAGGCTGTACACCTTGCCAATCGGCCTGTCGCCGGTATTCACTCGAGGCATACCGTATACATAACCGTCGATCACTTCGTCAAATCTGCAATTTAGCGCGCATCGATTCGCATTGGATCTCGTATTCTCGTGGGGTCCCGCACCCGCGCGATCGTCTCAATCCTCCTCTCGACGCGGCTTTATACGCGGCGTTAGATATCCACGGAGATCCGATGGAAACTCTACTCCCAGACAATGCGCTCGGCCGATTTAATTAGGATAAGAATCGCTCGGATCGGATATACAACGGCGCACAATGGGGTGGTGTATCAGGGGGTGACGGAGGTGGGGAAACGGAGCCACGCTTCTGATGTATGTATACTGTGGCTCGCCTCCAAGAAACATGATATAGCGAGGAGGTCGAGGAGGGGCTTGGGGGGGATGGATCTGTGGGCTGCGGCGGTTTCCAAAAATACCGCAAGCTTCGGCAAAAAATAACGATCGAGAGCGAAAGGGAGAGAGGACGTGATACCGCGGGCGCCACGTGCTAATTATGTAAAAATATGATGTGGTTTGCCCGCTTGCGGGATGCAGCCGCCGGCTTTTACGCGTAGTTGGATCCTTTCAAGCTTTCCGATCGATAATTTGACACGGACCGGACATCGTTCGGAATTCGTTGCGAATAATATTCAATATACGTTAAATTTACAAATACAGGCGTCATAGGAATCTATAATAAATGCTTGTTTCTCTTTGACATGTAGAATGCTTTTCGATTGTTTACTAATATCTTAGTGAAATCGATTCGAGAAAACGAGAAACGACCAAATGCTAAAGTAATTTTTCTGAAAGTCAAAGACATTCGGTTTTCTTTTACATCGAGGAAATTAACATAACCATCGCGTGTCACGGATATGTAGTCTTCGTTGGGAATGTCTCCATTGGGAACGCGACTGTCGGCGGACTATTTACTTGTAACGATTACGTGCGTCTAATTTCATAATTACAGTTAATGCGAGATTAAAATTGAGATGTGGTTGCGCCCATGAAATTAATACGTCTTGCTAGGTGTAATGTAATTGAGCGTCGGTGACTGTCTTCCGTACGTCGCGTGCATAATTTGTTTAATACTTTTTGGAGCTCGTTTAATTTCTATCGCAGATTTTATCCTATTTAAGTAGATTTTGTAATGATCATTCCATTTGGCTTAATTAATTTAATTTTTGTTTTTTATAAAACAAAGATATTCCTTGTATTAATTGTATACGGATGATTATTTCAGTTATGAACTAATTCAATTTTACTACGACAGAATTTATTTGTAATAATGCCTTACATTGTATTGGGCATATAAAAAGAAGCACTTGAACTCTGCAAAGGTTAATGTCAACGAGGAAACAAAGATACCGAATTTGAGATACCAAACTTGACATAGAACGCAGGTGCACAATGTCGCATGTGCGTGTCATACATCTTTTAGAAACTTGGCACAGAATTGACTGGATAACAGCATTGGAAAGATTCGGTTCTTGTTGCGACTGCGATATTAATGCGCGCAGTAACTTTTCCGAAAGAACGGCTAGAACGCTACATAAATTTATAGACTTGCGTGGCACAAGATCGATGGAATATCCGATGAGTGTATAATTTATTATCCAAATTTCGTACAATGGATATGAGACAACTAGTACTTCAAGAGGATTTAATGATACATAAAATTAATCTAAAGAATACGACAGTTATGATCCTACTTATCATCGCTTTATTTAATATCTTTTATTAAACTAAGCAGCTTCTTTCCTTTTCTTCAAGTCGAACGGAAATCAAGCGACTCTTTCTTTATATCAATTTTCTCGACTACATCATACACGACGATTCATGATATGTTTTCACATAAGTTCTCTTTTTCGCAAAAGATGAACAATATATATATATATATATATATATATATATAATTACGTATATGAAAGTGACGGTGTGCCGCGCGGATCGTTTGGCGCTCCGTTTTGATGTGGCACAATGTATTCGCGCGATAAAAAAAACGTGATCGTCCGAGTGTGCGATATATAGAAGGAACTTTTTGCCGCGCTCCTGTCTCTTTCGCTGCTCCCTTCTCTTTCTCCTTCTGTCCCTGTTTTTTTTTTAATGTTGTTTGTTGGCCAGCGATAAATAATATTTCGCAGGTGCATCTAGACGATGCGACGCCTGTAGTGCGCGGATCGTCGCGCAGATAAAAGTCCGCGCGCGCGACGCACTGTGTGTTCTATATACTTACTTCGGTGAGCGATAAATCATTCGATAAATTGTTTCGAAACATCCCGCTACACATTCGTCGGCGAGACGATGGTAGAGTGAAACCGTGGAAGAGGAAATTTTTTTTTAGTCTCGCGTTTTTTTTACATGCGTTAATTCTTGCGCTCAAGATAATCGTTCTGTTGGGATTGGTATATAATAATTGCAGTCTCACGTCGATAATTTCACGCTAATTGGCGCTTGAGTTTTTTTGACTCGCGTCGCATTAATGCTTACTTAAAAATACGCGAGATCGTTCGTATTCAATTTCATTAGTAATTGAGCGAATTTTATTTTTTTTTTTTTTGCTTACAGCATCCATACCCCTCGGAAGACCAGAAAAAACAGTTGGCACAGGACACGGGGTTGACGATTCTTCAAGTTAATAATTGGTAAGTAAATTATTTCTTACATAATATTTTACATACATTTATTGCACGTAAAATGGCTACAATGGTCGTTGTTATTATCATCATTTAGAAAACATCACTTTAAACTTGTACGTCATTTAAAAAATTTTATCTTAAAAGTCTTATGAAGAAAATTGCAAATTTTTAGCTATTTTGAGATTGCTGTATTTGCAAAAATTTTCACTTTTGATTATTTCTATCTCTGACATATGTGACTAAAGAGATTTGACAAATATAAAATACGTTGCAGAATAAAAGTAAATTTTGTTGAAAAATATAAAACATCTTTTATATACATATTTTAAACATTTATTACCAAGAACAGCGATAATCGGGAATTTTTATAGAGTGTATATATTCTTTGCGTGTCGCGAGTGTAAACAAATTTATCTTCCGACCGTGATCGAGTCTTTCTAAGCGACGAGAATCGAATCTCGCTGCATACGTGCCAAGCGAGAAACTTTTTCTAGACCGGCGGGCATGAGAGCGGCGGACGGGCGTCGAATCATACGGCACGTCGCACGTGTCATATGCGAATTCCAGACACCCTGAAATTACGCCCGTACATCAAACGGAACGAGGCGTGCACGACTGGGGCTCGGCACCAGCGATTGCACGTTGACGTTGCAACGAGCTGATTATTTCAGCGCGCCAATCACGCGAGTACAAACGGCGTGGTAGGCGTACGCCGCATCAGCGAGTCAAACGGGCGGGCTGAATTCTGTAATTTGTGTTTTTCCATGATCTCAAGAAAGCGTTCGTTACGGCTGTAATTCTCTGATTTTGGTTTAATTCGTTTCGATTTTGCGTTATCGGCTTATACTTATGATTTTGCTCGTTGCACTTTATTCGTTGTGGCGATTACACGGTAATCTTGAGGAATAAACTGTATATATTTATAGTCATTAGTGATTAGTTTTGAGATATAATTGACAATAATTATTTTCCATAGAGTATAAAAAAAATTTATGTTTCGCATTGCATATTCGCATTGCGTATTACGATTATGATAAATTTTTCGTTGCATTGGTCTTATTTCTCTCTAGGTAGAGAAATATAGCAATACAAAGTAATAAAAATTATATATATCTCGATCTGAGCGAGTAATTTTATATTAGTCAAGATATGACTAAAAAAAAAAATGTCTATATAAAAAAAGACGTTAATCGTCGTTTATTCTTAGTCCGAGCGAGTTATAAAATCACTCTTATTAGAATAGGGTTAGCATTAAATTCTGTGTTACACATAAGACACCGTGGAGAGATCGTTCCGTCCGCGATAAAGCAAAATTTATACCCAATCGTTACGACTAATCGGAAACATTTTACCTCGATCACACCATCGTCGATCGGAAATATCAGGTTACGTAACTTTACGATATAATGCACCGCAATAATCCGTACATTTTCCCACACAATTCATTCGCTTGTATTTAATGCTTCGTTTTCGATGTGTTTTATTACACTGAATCTACATTGATGCGATAGAAACTCTTTTTTTTTTACGATTCACGGAAATATTATTAGATCGGCATCTTTCACATCATATTTTCGATACACTTCATGAAAACTTATTTTCGAAAAATTGCAATTTTTATCACAGATTTACTGTATAGTTATGTATTGTAGAAGGCACTTTCGCTTTGACGGATTGAGCGAGTTTGTTCACTTTCAATTAGCGTAGTCATTATAAATGTTCTAGTGTTCTAGTCGGCTCATTTTGGCAAAATATAAACATATCTTAATAATGTTGAACGGAATAATGTATCCGAAACAACATAATGTAGACGCACTATGTGCGGACGTAACGGTGTAGCGTTTAAAATAGTATCTTGCTTACACATACTTTGGGCGTGCGCCTCTTTCGGCTATAGAGGAGAAAAGCTTGTAAAACGTTTATTAACGTTTAACGCCGCCTTCGCTTTATGCACCTTTAATCTCAGCGTGAAGAGTGCCGTACTACGGATATTATACTAGTCGCTATTATGTAGCGACTTTACGATTTTCATATCTGGGCCGTCAGTCGCCGTGATCGTACTCTCGGTGATCTCCTTTCAAGTTGTTTTCGTTCGTTTTCTTTATTTCTTATGAAATTTTCTCTTATTTTGAGATATCTTCGTTCTCTTATTTTTTTACATCTTTTTACTGTAATAATTATCGGCAGATAAAATATTTGAATCAATTGTAATTGCTTGGTAT